TACCCAGCCATTTAGTTCCCACCTAACTCTCGTTTCTCTCTCATCTAAGGGGGTGGTTTTACCATAAACCAAACACGCTCTGCAAAGTCACCTGTTCCCACTTAATCCAGTTATTCCCCTCCTTGGGAACCGGCGCTATTTTCCATGGACCTCTGTCCTATTTTCCTCCTTCTCCCTAAACAGTTCTGGGGTGCAAGCAGAGAGAGGTCTTACGCTTCCTCCTGTGTTTTCAACCCTTCGAGGTGTTTGCAGGCAAAGAACCATTCGCTATTTCTTCATCCGTTGCCTTTCATCCCTTTTTGAGCGTCCAGCAGTAAAGCAAATACAGAAGGCGAGGCCTGTCGCATCCTGGTGCCTCATTTGGGAATAAATGGTGCAACCTGAGCATTGGCTGCGGATTTTCTTGTCCGCAAAGGATGAAGTATGCAGCACGTCCTCTTTCAAGTAACTTTTTAACTTAAAACATCTTTTTAGTATGTATTTGAAGCTTGTCACCTTACATACTTTGGCAGTTTTCACCCTGAAACAGCAAATAATGTATATTGTGAGCAAAACACACCGTTTGCTTTTAAGCATGGTCCCCATTTACCTAAAATCATTACCATAGAGGCAGATAGGTGTTGTTCCAATTGTTCACATAAGACTTCAGTCCCAAGCTTTCCTCCTAGATGTCGGCAGCATGGCCATGTATCCCTGAAATAAGTTCCATAATATAAATTATCAAAATAATTTGAACAATAGGGCGGCCTATTTTATGTTTTTATGTTGTTGAAGCTGTTCTCTTCCTTTGTAGTCTGTCTGGTTTCACACACGCTGACTCTGAGCTCTTCCAAGCGCTTTCCCCTCCTCTGCTTACGCTGACCGGTATGTCACAGCCATTGATTGATCGCCGTTTGTGTTTGTTTTGGACACTTCCACATGATTGCTACTAATAACCAGCACTGAATTCCTGAAATATCTGCCCGATTCCTTTTAGGAGGCAACTTCGTTATGGTCCGTCACATGAACTGCAGTAGGCCCTAGCAATACTGTGGTGCAGGAGGAAAATAATGGCCAAATGAAGGGATAGCTCAAACAAAGCGTTGTAAAAAGCCATCACACTAAATTCTGCACGCATCATCTACTGCGTTTCAGCGAAGGCCAAGTTTCTTAGTCAGCTCTCCGAGGAGATCCGTCAGCCCTAACGATGATTCTTTTGGGACACGGTTTTGTGCCCGCTGCACGCTTCTGCTGTGCGCAGCTCGTCACCTGCATGAGGTTAGGTCAAAAGGATGCAGGTGCAACAGACCTGATTCATTTTTACTGACTTTGTATTGGTCCTTCAAAAAATAAAAATAATTGTTAAGAGCTAGAGGAATGTTAATTTAAAAGAAAAAAAAGAAAGCCTGGAAGGGTTCTGAATTGTAACCAGTACCAATGAGACATGGACTGATGGTGAGCCTGTAACCACCGGATTTGGGTTGTAGTTACTCATTTGCATGCTTACATTTGGAGATACAGAAGGACAGGAACCGAATTGTCTTTGGTGTGGACCAAAATGTGTTTTAAGAGCGTATTAAACTGTAATGAGAGGTGTATAGAGGTGAGTGCGGTCAGAGGATGTGGTCTTCAAGAAGAGTGAATGGCCTCTAGGTGCTGGAAACGTACCGTAGGTATTAAAAACAACAAAGGTAATGTTACTCAGATACATTAAGGTTATCTTAAGGGTAACTTAAACCTATGACAGGATTTCTGTCTTACGGATAGGTACAGTCAGCAATTTGTTACCCAGGTGATAGGCGGAACAGCTTGCTAACCTGGCGGCTCCCCACTGGTGGCAGCCCGGCCGCCCAAGGGAACTCAGGAGTCCAGAGGCCAATGTGGCACAAAGACACGACATAGAAAACGCCCGAGGCTAGCTTATGTCTGGAAGACTATGTGAGCTTGCCCTCTCTGGGAGGAATATGCAGATACCAGAGGCATCTCTGCCTGAAAGCGGTTCCTTCCCAAGGTACAGTCAGCAATTTGTTACCCAGGTGATAGGTGGAACAGCTTGCTAACCTGGCAGCTCCCCACTGGTGGCAGCCCGGCCGCTCAAGGGAACTCAGGAGTCCGGAGGCCAATGTGGCACAAAGACACGACATAGAAAACGCCCGAGGCTAGCTTATATCTGGAAGACGATGTGAGCTTGCCCTCTCCGGGAGGAATATGCAGATACCAGAGGCACCTCTGCCTGAAAGCGGTTCCTTCCCACCAGGGCAAGCGTGGAGGCTGGACTAACGAGCCAGCGTACGGACAAATCCAATTCCTCTCCTGTTATGCTCCCTGGTCTGCTTACTGTGAGGCAGCGTGGGCATTCCGCAGGAGCATTTCAGTCTGACAGGCTCAGCGCTGCCAACGTGTGTCTAGGTAGCTTCTTACCTTGGAAAAATTTCCCCAGCGTAAATTGCTTTACATTTATCTACACCGAATTCCATCTGCTACTTTATCACTGCCACTCAGTTTGGCAATTTGTTATTTTTCGCTTTCTCAATTTGTTCTGTTTCTTTCCAATACTTTGATTTTGATGGATCCTCCACAATGAGAAGCTCCACTGTGAGATGCTCCCCCAGTTCCTTCGCAGCGGACATGAAAGTGTGGACCATAATGGAAAAACTGTCTCCTCCGAGTGCTCCTTTTGTATGGTAACCGTATCCTCGCCCCACTCATTTGCCGTCAGGGGATTTGCTTCTATGCCTTTTGCAAACTGGTCCTCAAGCATATTTACAGCCTGCCTTATAGCATCCACCCCTTCCTCCTTTCTCTCCCAAGCACTGGGATGCTTGTCGGCGTTGTTTTTTCTCTACCTTCTCGTACCTCACTGCGTAACGCCTTGACTCCATGTCTGTTTTTCATCCCTGCTCGTCAGCAGATTGCTCTAGGGCATACTTAGCTGGTTCTCTGTTCAAATCTGGCCCTGGAGAGTACCTGTTTGGGCAGAAAAAAAGAGGTAGCCCGGTTGCTCAATAAACTGTTTCAAAGCTATGCCGACGGAACTTCTCCACAAATAGCAAGGAGCAGTAAGATAAGCTCAGTCATCGGGCTGCACCCTCAGACGGTGCAGAACACGAGAAGCAGAAACAGACCATCTTACGGAGCGAGGCTGTGAATCGGGGCAGAAAACGTCCTCACCACGCCTTTGAAGTCATCTGCACTGATACTGAATCCATTCCCATCCCCGCGGTCGCTCCTATCCAACGACTGCCAGCTGGAGACAGATGGCAATCTCTGCATTCATTTCTCATGCTATAAGATGAAATACTCAAAAAATCAAGCAATCTTCTTTCTGCGAGTCTGGTTTTTTCCCTCCATCAGCTGGATGAATGAACTTTGCTGCAAGAAACAATGCTAGTTTGTCTGCCAAACCAAACTAGTTCGAAGAAACGACATAGTTATTCTTGGTCAAATAATAGCAGAGTTCAAGAATGACAAAACACATACAGAAACCAGGCTAGAAGGTGGACTCTACGATTGATCTTCAATGCTCACACCTCTTGATAAATCCAGCTATTTTGAAAAGCTCTGTTGCATTTACAGGCGAGATTTCAAATCAGGCCCTAGCACTTGGGGAAAAAAAAAAAAAAAAGTCTTAAGCATCCAATTCAGTCGCACAGCAAATAGGATAATATCGGTATTTCGGTAAAAGCGGGACTGTCAGATTTGTGTGAGTTTCCAGGCACAAGTCATAACAAAGTAATCTGGTTAAACCACTGACTACAGTGACTACAACATAATTAATTGTTAGAACTTTACAGAGGAAAGCCTTGCACAGTGACACTAAGCTCCAGTGAGGGGCAAAAAAGAATAACTCAATTAACTCCTGGAAGGAAAGGAAATAAAAATCAATGATGATAGTTTAAGCCTCTCAGATTTAGATAGTGCGCAAAGCTCAGAAGTAGCAGAAAGTGGTATTCGATTGCAAGGGATGGATAGCAGTTTATCCGCATTTAGGCAAAAATAACCAAGACCAAGCGATAACAGAATTCAGTAGGTAAGAAGAGATAAACCAAAGATTAAGAGAGAATTTGAAAAGCAAACAGTACAGATGTAAACAGAAATAAAAGCTCCCTCTACATACTTGAAAAAAGGAAGTTGGTTGGAGACAAAATATGCAATCGCTTCACTGTCCAGAAGTGAGACTACACACAGAATTGTTTGGGTTGGAGAAGACCTTTAAGACTATCGAGTCCAACCGTTAACCTAACCCTGCCATCCCACCACTAAGCCATGTCCCTAAGCACCTCGTCTGCCCGGCTTTTAAGTGCCTCCAGGGATGGGGACTCCTCCCCTTCCCTCGGCAGCCCCTTCCAGTGCCTGACAACCCTTTCAGGGAAGAAATTTTTCCTAAGGTCCCCCGGGTCTGTCCCACCCCACACCCTGGGTGATGCCCCCCAAGCTGACCGAGGGGTCCCCCGGCACCACCCTCCATCCCAAAACCACTGTGAGGGTCCTGACACCTGCCCTTCTCACCTCAGGGGGTGGAGGTCCCGGGCCTGGCCTTCATCATCTTCACACAAGCATCTCCAC